ATAAAAGTATACAGAAACAATCAGATGAAGCTCTTTGTACTAAAAAGGTTGAATATGTATTAGAAACAAAATCACAAACCACTAACATTATACCTGGATCTGAATTTCTCTGATTTATGTATAATCTAGAATCTTTAGTGATTAAATTATTTGAAAATATAATAAATATTTTGCGTTATGTAAAAAATAACCTTCTTTCTAACTTATATCTAAACCAAATATTTGTTACAGTTTTGAAAGATTCAGCTCAAAAGATCAATATTGAATCAGAAGATGATAAATTTGGGTTCATTTATGAAAGATACATTTTGATCTATATGAAGAGTTATTAAAAAACTTGAAGAAATGTTAATAATTATATTTTAGAAAAAGGTACCGCAAGTTTATGAGAAAACCTAAAGGTAATACATTTTTAATCAACCTAAAGCTTTAAATTCAAAAAAATAAAAAAGCTATTGTCATAAAGAAAGTAAGCTTACCATCTAATTTAGAACAACTTTGAGAATGAGCACAGTTTGAAGGAGCAGAAGAGGCATTTGCAAAAATGTTTTTAGTATCAGAATTATTGTGATTAATTTGAACATTTGGAATACCAACAACATATAAAAGAAAACAAAAATTAATACCTATAATTATCTCCAGTTTGAAAAACAAGACACCTTTTGTTGAAGAAGCACTTGAAAAACCCACTATTTTTATGAATTAAAAAGTAGCAGTATATAAGCAATAAATAAATAATAAAAAAAATTGTTTTTATTTTCTTAAAAATAATAAATTTCTTTTTTAATTAGTTTTTTCATATGAGCAATAAACTTTAAGCTAACTCAGAAAGCCAATAACATATAAATTACCTTGAAAATTCCAGAAAGTATAGTTTCTATCTATAGTAGTTGACTGACAAACATCAGGTTTTGAAAATATCATCAGTCAGAAATTCTAAGTTTTAAAGTTCATTTTAATATAATGATAAATTGTGATCAAAAATTTCATGGGTGAACAGTTTATTGATCTAAAATCTTATGATGTAACTATTGAGTTAGCCTTCCTACCCTTATATAACCTAATGGTTGAGCATAATCTAATAGTTACTTCATAAACTATATACACATTATCATGTCCATGATTGTAACAAAATATGTTGCAGATCACAAACTCAATAAAGAGATAGGTAATAAAGAACTTAGTCAGCATGCTTTAGCATTACTCAAGCTTTTAACAGATAAATTGAAGTTAGACAAGGGTCAATAGTGCTTTCAGAAAAGGTATAATTTTAGCAAAGAATAGGTATTTATATTAGTTCCTGATCAAAGAATTTGTTGAAGTAAAAGTCAAGTAACTTCTCAAATAGGAGGGTCAGAAGTGGGGAAAGTGAATCTATGCTAAATATTTAAGCTTATTCTAAAAGGAGAAACTGTTGAAAGGGTAGCTTAGTGAATTACACAGGATAATCTTAACGAAAAGATGTAGAATCTATAGCAAAAAATTTAGCTGAATCTGCTTCTAATGCTAGCCCTAGTTCATCCTAAATCTCTAGGCTTCGAAGAGAGTTGTGAACCCTTAATGCTCTAGAAAAAAGAATCTCTGCTATTTTGATTTTAGAAATAACCTATTTAGCTAATAAAATTCAAAAGAAGCATAGTGAGCAATATGAAAATAAAGGAATTGATTTTTCTGATCACTTCTCGCTAGTATCAGTCAAGAAGAGATTAGATTTGTATAATATATCTAATACACCCAATATTCAAGCTCTACCTGATGCAATGATAATAGTTTGCATCTGTCTTGCTGAAATAAAAACCTTACATATATCTAATGGGAGTGTAATTGGATATGCAAAAAACTGAGAACAACAAGATATTTTTCAGGTATTTAGATCACTAGAGAAGAACAAGAAACGGATAAAGCAATTGCTTATATGTATTTAGGAAGCAATTTCTACTAGATAATTAAGAGATTGTCAGGAGTCAATTGGTTCAATACATTCCTGAAAAAAGATAGATTCCTTCCTGAAATTGGCAAACAGTAGATAGATTAAGTAGACATCACTATTTAAATAGTGATGTCTACTTAATCTATCTACTTACACTATAGTGATACCTACTTATAGATATTGATGCATACTTACTTATTTTTACATGTCTATGCTCCTTCTGATATTTTATTGCTATCCATCTGTTTTCACTGGTCTGTGACTTCTTGGTCGCTAAACAGGGCAAAGGTTTATTTTTCCATTCTAAAGTCTTTTAACAATTATATAAGAGTAAAGTTGGGTTTTCCACTCTATGACCCTTTTGGTTGCCATATTTGAGGTTGAGAGTGTGACCTGTTTATTGGCGTCAGAATAGTAAAAAAAGCGTAAGGTGGCATAGTAGATCTGTGATTAATTTCAGCTGACACTATTGCTATAATTTTAGCTGATCCTTAGAGCACATGATTTGAGGATCCAGTTTGACGCCGTGATAGTATCATGGAACTGTCATGGAACTAGAGAGGTTCTATTAGTTCACCAGTTTCAGATCACTTCTTGGATGCCGAGTTATTATATCCAAAGATCTGGTCGAAATTAAGCGAATTTATATTGCACCTACCGTGTTAATCATGTGATTCAGTTCCTTACCAGTTCCAGGCACTTCCCTATCACTTTCTCGCAACTTTTGAGAGACTGGTTGAAGGATCAGTAGTACCAAGATTGGCCTATGTAATTGCCAGGAATTAGTGCTGAATTTGCTTGCAATCCCACTTTATATTCCCATTTGATTGCTGAGTTGAGACACGAAGTGCTGAACTTGCAATCTATTATATTTTTCCTCTCAATTGCCATTTCTTGATTGCTGGATGAGGCATGAAGTGCCGAATTGGTGACCCAGATACGCAATTCTGCTTTCTATAACCTTTTGATTGTCGGAGATGAGACACGAGTGCTGAATTTATGCCCATTCTTGCAATTTCGTCTTGTATGACCTTTTTGATTGCTAAGTGAGGCACATGCGAAGTGTTGAATTAGTTCAGGCTATATTGCTTTCATACCCTTTTTTCGTGTATCCTCCTGAACCTTTTTGCCTTTTCAACCTCTTTCTTGCCTATCGGCGGTAGTACACTAAAGCATAACTTTTTATTTTCTTTCCTATATATTATTCTACTTTGGTGTACTACTAAATTTATATCTTATTTTACGCTTCCGCCTTCCCAGAACTCTTTCTCGTATAGTTACTACTTCGGGATACTTTGGGATACTACTATATCAATTGCTTTTAGACATTATTATATTGATTACTTTGGGTATTACCACTGACCCAGTATTTTGCTGGCAAGCGTATTCGTCTAAAATTTTATATAATTTTTATTTTAAACTAAAGATGGAGCTGTAATTAATTTTAAAATTTTTAACTAGTTGCAACTATTTATAAATTTTTATATTAAAATAAATTTTACAAGGAGTTGCAACCAGTTGCAACCCAAGTTGCAACTTACCGAGTTGCAACTTCTTAATTACAGTGCCATTTTTATTTTAAACTTTTCAAGTTTCTATGTAATTTTATACTGATTTCTTGCATATACTCCATGCTTTTTGCGCAAAAAAAGCCTGGGCCTGGCCCTAAAAGATTAAATGAAGCAACAAGGCTCTTTTCTAGTTTAGCTGACTTCGATTTTGAGCCTGATTATAATGATTATGCATACTTTCAATATCTGTCTAATAATAAAAATGATATTTCTCTTCTAGATGCCTATCATCCTGAAGAGATTTTTGATAAATATATAGTTCAAGTTGCAGGGAAGGGTTTTACGGTAGTTAATCATCCATCTGAAGTTTATGGGTTTTCTGATACTCACGAATGTATTGATGGGAATTTGCCTTTTCGCCTGGTTCTGGATATTGACACAAGGCAGTATTTCGATCCCATGAATCCCGAATTCCCTTTCTTAGATGAATATAAAATTTCTCGCGAAGATTTATTATCTAGAATTTTAATTGCCTGTGCTGATATTCTATACTTTGATTTAAAACATCTTATATCTTTAAATGTTTTTACCTTAGCTAGTTCGTCTAATACTGATAAATGCAGTTAGCATATTGTGTATAAATATGCCCGTTTTATTGACTATAGGGACCTTAAGGGTTTTGTAGAAAAAGTTGCTAATAGGATTGGAAAACCATACTCTGAATTCATTGACCTTGGGCTTTATAAATCATGTTTCAGTCTTCAGCTCCTTGGATCAGTAAAAGAAGATAGAGTCAAAAGACCTGCGATTTCTTCAATCAAGGAAGGATATTGTAAGTTAAAAGATTATTTAGTTCAGCCTAAGTTACAGTAGATGCTTCTGAAATCTGGCCCCGAACCTTTTCCCTTGAAAAGCCAGAAAAAGAGGAGTTCCAACCTATCGAAGATGAAACCGCTTTGAGCAAAGGAGTTAGTTTGGTTATCACAAAATATGAATGGCTTGAGGTTAATAACATTAGAAAGGGATTTATTAACTTTCAAGCTCAGTCATTAGAAGTATGTCCCATTTGCAATATCAAACACGAAAAAGATCAGTTATATGGCTTTCTTCGAAGTAACAGCTGTTTTGTACTCAAATGTTATCGGCAGAAAAATTATAAATCAGATCATAAGGGATTAGTGTTTGAAAAAGTAACTGAAATTCCTGCAAAACCTAAGAGAGGAATAGTCGAAAGAATAGGTGATGCTATATTAAATCCACGCCCTCTTGTAGGATTATCAGAAATAATGATTAATGTAGAAAAGTTAAAGGATGTTCCAGAAGTATATCCTGATTTCTTGGGTATTGAGAAAATGACAACACTTATTCGTTCTCCTCCGGGAATATGGAAAACTACTACATTAAGAGAGATTATTATGGCATTGAAAGATAAAGTACATGATATTTCTTCTTTGCCATGCTTTATCTGGATCTTTTACCGAAAGTCTCTTAGCAATGAATCAAAAGCAAAACTTGATGATTTAAAAGCATTAGGTTTCCAAATTTGTAACTACCAAAATATGCAAGAAGACCTATCTATAAATGAGTGGGATATTATCATAGTACAGGTTGAGAGCCTCTTTCATGTTGAATTCACAGCCCGTCCATTTGTAGCTATTCTTGATGAAGCTAATGCTATTATGTGCCAAATGTCTAGCGGTACAAATGCACAGGAATCTGAAAATGTAATGCGTGATATCTTAAGATCTGCAAGGCATGTTTTAGCCATGGATGCCTTTGTGAATAAATCTACATTAGCATTCTTTAGGGCATATCATGGTGAAGACATTCATATAGTTGATAATGGATACCAGCCTCGTATAGGCGAGAAAGTTAAATTTATTTATGATCTGAATAGCGGAGCTGAAGCTATGCGAATAGGATATGATCTTTTGAGACAGGGCAAACATGTGGCATTTGTATCTACTTGAGCAGTGATGGCTAGAGCGTTAGTAGAAAAAGCATCTAAGTTGTCTAAGCCTGATAATTCACCTGTTAGATCTCGTGCATATTATGGGGATATGGATGGAAAGCAAAGACAAATAGATTTTTCTAATATTAATGTCGCTTGGAGTAAGCTTGACTGTATAGCTTATACAAATACAGTGGAGGCAGGAATATCATTTGAGGTTACAGGTCACTTCGATATAGTTATAGCTATTACAAACATCACCACTCCAGTTCATGTTGAAGCTCTTGCACAAATGCTTTACCGAATTCGTGATTGTTCTCGCCGTATTGTTTCTATATTCTATCAGAAAAATTCTAATGACCTTTTTCGCCCGTTAGGTCATGAAAATATTCGAGCAGAACTAGCAAATGCTCGGCCTAATAATTTACCTACATCAATAAAGGACCATTGTGAATGGAATAGCAACACCGTTTCTTATAAAATTAACGAATCTCCTGCTGTAATAACATTCATTGAAGTTGAGCATCAGAAACATCTTTCTGCAAGATATTTTATTGAGAAGCTTTGCAGTCTTGTAGCCAGTACTGGTGCTTCTCTCCAACTAATAAAAATGGATGAGAGCCGAGGAGTTATAGGGAATTGTAAAAAAGTCTGCAATGGGATTAGGGTTGAAGCACTAGTTATCAAGGAAACAGATTTTAATGCGGTTGCTACTTTCCGGAATCTTGATCCTGAAGAAGCTGAAAATCTTAAGTTTGATCAAGAGCGCTCTATTCTAGATACTATAGCATTTAAATGTTTCTATATACAAAATATTTATGGTAAAGATATGGATGATGAAATTTGGGATAATTTTTGCAATAAAAAGTTTGTAAAACATTTCAGTCCGCCCGAACCTCAAAAACATTTCTTATGGTTATCTCACTTTTGAAAGCAAGTCTATGATGAGGAGAGTACAATAAAAGGGTTAGAGACCAAAGATACTGCACAATAGGAAGATACCTATTATAAAGCTAGATATAATTCTGAGAAATCAGTAGTGGAGGACTTGCATAAATCATATTCATTTAATCATTGGATGGTTATAAGAGAGCTCTTTCAAATACTAGGCTTTACTGGCATCGATGATAAGCGTACTCTTTCTAGTGATACTGCATCAGAATCATTTATGCGGTCTTGTGAAAAGTTTATAAAAATTCGAAACCAATCTTTATTACTCTTTGGTTTTAAGTCTTGTGCAAAGGAAACACTAGATCTTCATTCAGCTATAAAAACAATTAATGCAATTGCTGAAAATTGGTGTGAGTATACCGTTGAAAGTAATAAAAAAAGAATAGGGCCTAAAGAACAACAAGTTAGACAATACTCATACTGAATTAATCGCCAGCCATATAATAGTATTGGTTTCGGAGATAAAGGCGTACCAGAACTTCCACCATACAAGTTAAAAACTGATAATAATATTCAGAAACTCTTTGACTCTATAGGATAGGAAAAATAAAACTTGGGCCAGATTATTATTTAGCTAAATATCTTGATCACATCAGATGGGGGTCACTAAAGTAACTATTGATTCTGTTTCAGTTTTTTTACTTTTGCGTCAGGCATGATCATAAATTCCACCATGTGTGCTACAGATTCCGGTCTTAGAATAGGTTCGCTCATTACAGATAAGACATATTGTTCTAGGAAGGGCATTAAAATGTCTGGAACATCCTAATTCACTCATGCATCCTTTTCCACAAATTGAATCATCTCTCTTGATGTATTGGCAGATAAAATGACCTATATGAGGTAATTTTGATATTAATATTCTTAAAACTTTGTCTTCACTTTTATTATAGATATTCAAAATCCTACTCACTCTTTTTGCGACTCTCTAGCCAGTTTTTTTTATACATTATACGAAAGTCAGTTTGAGAATTGATTGGCCTATTACAAGATACGCACATTTTATTTGGTGAAGACTTATAGTGTCTGACACAGTATCTTTTCTCGCAGATAGACCCATTATCTTTCTTATTTAGGCAAGGCCAAGTTGGGTAATTCTCGTTCTCTGAATCAGATATGTATTCACCAAAGGGACCAAATACTATAGTACTTCTTTCTGAAAATTTTTTTAAGATTAATATATGCTAAACTTCTCTTCATTTTTTATTATAGATATTCAAAAATGTGTTATGCTGGTCTACGAAGCACCTTAATGGCAGAGGATAAGCTATATTATTTTTTTCGCTTCCTTAACCTTCTCAAGAGCCATCTCTGATATCTTCCCTTACTGAAAAAATATAGCTCTGAAGAAATTTTTCGAATTGAACATTTTCTTACATAATATAACTAAATAACAGTTAGTATTGATATGGCTACCAAAACGGTTATCGCAAAGACCCGAAAACCTAAAGCTAATAACTTTGTATTGGTCTTAGAGCAGTTCCTAAAAAAGCATAATTTGACGGCTAACTCTATTCCAGAATAATTAAGTAAACATACTCCTGAACTTGATGCTTTGTTTCCTGATTAGATAGCTCGCGTGTGTGTTAAAGTTGCTCTTGCCAGAGGCACTAATAATAGAGGTATTGATAACAGACGCTCATTTAGTAAATAGCAAATAGAGACTCTCTTACCAGATAAGAGAAAGAAAAATCTCACCATTGAGGGAAGGGTGGAATACTACACTACATCCAGTAATGCTATAGATATTTTCGCTCATCATCTAAACTAAGGTTGCTGGACGAAATCAAGAGTTTAGACAGACGTCTAAATGGTAAAAGTAAAACTTGGTTAAATTATATT